CACTCTTCGTATCATTTTTCTTCTGCGAAATTAGGATTAAATTTTTTCCGTAATTGGAGATGTTCCCGGAAAAAAATTTCCGCGGTTTGCTGGGACAAAGTATTAATTGTTCCAATGCGATAAACCGCGTCTTCCCCGAGCAGTTGCCGCACGTAATTATGAGCGGACTTTTGGTAATCTCCGGAAAAATTAAGGTCAATATCAGGCGACTTTTCCCCTTCCCAACCAAAAAAGGTCTCAAAAGGTAAATTATGTCCTTCCATAGTTAATAAATTAGGACAATGAGGACAATTTTCTTGTTTTTGGTAATCATAACAAGAGAAAATTCGGTCCGGGGCTTGATAAAGTTCAGTGTAACGACAAGCCGGACAAAACTTATAAAAAGGCAAAGGATTTAAGTCAGTAATCCCACACAAATAAGCAATGAAAGAAGAGCCAATTGAACCCCGGGAGCCAACTAAATAACCATCGGCATGGGTCTTTTTTACTACTTTATAAGCCAACCAATAAATAAAAACATAACGACCCTGGATAATTTTTCATTCTTTCTCGATTCTTCCTCGCACAAACTCCGGCCAGATTTCCCCAAATAACTCATTGGCTCGCTGAGTGTAAGCCGTTATTAAATCGCTTTCTTCCCCCCGCACATTTTCCGTAGCCGAGTAATTAAGTGGCGGCTGCTTAATATCAACTTTGCCAATAAGGTTTACTATTTTTTGGGGGTTCTGAAAAAGCATTTTTTCTAGTTGGTTTTTTCTCCCCCAAAAAACTCCAATTACTTACCATTTCTTCCAGAGTAAGCAAGTGTTGGAGTGGCAAATCAGCAAATCTATCTTGTTTTCCCTCCCAAGTCGCTTCGTAATAAAGATAATGTTTCGTGTTATTCATCCCCTCGTTAGCCACAATAATCTGTTTGAGTAATTTTTCCTTTTTCTCGCAATAATGAACATTATGAGAAGCAATAATAAGCATATCTAGTGCTTCGGCCGTGGTAATAATTCTTCTTGCCAAATCTTTTACATCTTCTCCCCCCATTTTCCCGTTTTTTCATAAATAACGAAAACTTTCCGGACTATTTACTTCGACATAGTCATAGAAACGCATTCTTTCCCGGATTTTTTCTGGGTCCGCGAGCGAACTAAAAAGTGAAAACACTTCTCCTTCGCGACCGCCGGCCGCTCCAATCAATAATCCCGCCCGATACTTCACCAAATCGGAGCGAAAAACACAAGGAACTCGAAATAACCTTTGCGTATGTGAAAGAGTTATCAAACGATAAAGATTGTTTAATCCGTCTTGATTAGTTACCAGAACTTTTACTCGTTGTCCCCGATTAGGAAAATACTCGTGATTAATTAAACTTTTGGTTTGTTCTCAATGAGTAATCTGCTTTTCGGCTAATAATTTCATTAATTTTTCCAACAATTCGGCTAATAATTTACTGTCATCAAGAGCTCGGTGGGCTTGTTTAATCTTATCTTTGCTGGACATTCGGCTCAATCTTTCTAAACTATAAGATTTCCGTTCCGGCAAGAGTATCCACGCTAGCGGCAGAGTATC